CTCCTTGAGTTTTCTCCATTTACTTCTGGAGTCGATATTAGTATTCCGATCTGTATGTATATATCATCCTTGTTATGCACGTCACTGCTTCCTAAAACAGATGTCCCACATTGCTATCAATTTATGATGCGTATTACTTTATTGTACATAACATGGGCATGTACTTTGATATTTCTGTTTTTCTCTCTCACTCAATAAATTACTTATGAGAGACATAAAATATGTGGTATAATAACATATGTGTAGAAGAAGAAAAAGAAAAAATGCTTCGAAGAGGAGGTTATTGAAAAGAATTGTATTGGCTACGTATCCAAGACAACAAAAAACAAAACAATAAGCTCAGAAAAATAGATTATGATACTTTTTCTCATGCTTACCTATCAATCAAGCGATTTGTATTTGAAATGAAATAATATTTAAATTTATTAATGGAAAAACAGTATAAGGAAACTTGTTATCCTGTAACAAGAGACATGTCGTCATCATCTCAGTTTGAAAAAGTATTGCCCAATGAATTGATATTATTGATATTTGAATATTTAAATGCTTATGATTTATTTAAATCCTTCTACAATCTGAATAGAAGATTTAATAATTTAATTCATTCTATACCTTTATATCATATCGATTTGAATAATATTGAACGAAAAGCAACATTAGATTATTATCAGCATTCAGTTATACCAAAAATTCAATATCAACAAAATGAACCAGCAATTGTTTTTGATATGAATGATGATAGATGCCATTGTATGAGAATTCTCAATCAATTAAAACTAATGAATTTAATATCATTAAGAATAAAAAACTTGAATGCAGAGAATGGCATTTATTTATTATCAATGTTACCAATGTTTAAACAACTAACGTTCTTATGCATTCAATCAAAAGTTGATTTAAATTTAAAACAATTTTTACAAATAATTACCATGACTTCATTAAAACAATTTCAACTTTTGTTTTCTAATTATTATTATCCTTCATATGAATCAATAGAATCACAAATAACATTATCAAATATTGAATATTTATGTATCTATAGATATTTTCGAATTACACAACTTCAAGAATTACTTCGATATTTACCAAAATTAAAAAAATTGTTTATATATATTAGATCTAGTGGTTATTCAACGTCTGTTAATAATAATCTTCATCAATTTGTACCAAATTTAAACGATTTACAATTATTTGTACAAGAATTAGGTATCTACATGTTGCTATTATTCTTAAAATATTTTATGATTAATGATGCTTTTTTCATTATACGTAGAAAGAGTTCTTTGTTTTTCACTTAAACATGGTGTTTGGTAGAGAGACAGTCCTCTATAAAAACTAAAATATCATCTAGCACTTCATGATATTTTCTTTTAGAATTATGATCATCATGCTGATGAAGGAGAATCACAACTTGATTTCAATGAAACTTTGCTTATATGTAGGAGGATACTGTTCTGATGATAAGAGTAATAAGTTTGGATCTATGACTCTTATTCGAAGAGTCAACTATAAGTAACTACTTATTTTGAAAAGAAAACTCTTCGACGTAAGAACTGTATAGAAAGCCAAGGGATGGATTACGATGAGAAATTTTTGGCGAAGGCTAGTCCAAAATTCGAATAACTAGGAGAATTTTACTATTGTTTAAAGTTACTTGGCTTCTAAAGATATTTAAAATGTTAGGAACTAATCATGCAATCCCTTAAAAATGCATTTGTAATCTCGTTATTCTGTGGAAAGTCAAATTTGGCCGATGCATGCTGAAGTGTTTGCACATTGACAATAGCTTGTTAAATGTGTTTATAATACTCTCAAGTTGTGCATAGATATAATAAGAATAGAAACTAAAGAATAAGATAATTCTTCAGTTTTTTTTTCCATACAAGAACGGAAGATAAAATTCAGATTACACAGCGACAATTTGAAACTAGAAATCGAAGAAGCATGAATGTTTTCTTTCTGTACTCGAGTATAAAATTTTTCGAAAAAGCTGACGATTCTAAAAATATTGATCTTCTTTTGATACGAATATAGCCAAGAAGGTCATCAAATTTTTATATTATAGATTAAAACCCATCGCAGATACAAGTAACCAAAAAGTTGTACTTAAATATAGTTGACTAAGAGTACTATCTCGTACTGATCCATCTCTAACTTACACATTAATTTGACTTTATATTAAATCTTGATAGATACACTTTGTATTTTTTGTTTCGTATGTTTTAAAAAGAACAAAAATATTCTAACGAGAATCGTATTTTTAAGAATTGATAAAGACATCAAGAAAGTATACGATGATGAGTCATTTGATTTGAGAAAGTTTAGAGTAAAACTAAAAATTAGTATTTTTCAAGCTGAATCAGAACCCGAAACAGGGATGATTCTTTAATTCCTGCCTTTTACTCTTATGTCCACCACTATATTTTATTGAAATATTCTTGATTATAGTTCTTTTTGTGTACTTAAAAATTGAGTACACTCTAGAATCGGTCAGTGTGTCCGTCCGTCCGTCCGTTTACACGATAACTTTCGAAAGGGGAGTCCGACCACGATGAAATTTTCTATACAGTTCAATCTTAACAATGTCTCGGTCGAGTTCGAAGATGAGAAGGATCCGTCAAGAAATGGCTGAGTTATCAAAAAAATTGTCATTATTGAGAAGACCATCCCTGAAGGGGGGGGGGGGGGGGGGGGGG